CAGGACAGGTCACAGCTGAAGAGAACAAGAGACAGCACAGAGCTTAGCTTGTAACAAATCAAATTTTTTTCTCTTCTGAAACTTATCAACCTACCCACAAAATGGGAGCAGCTTTAGAAAGGAGATTTACTACGCTGCCATTTCAGAAAACAGATAGGAGGGGCAATATCTCAAAATGGAAAACTGACTCTTAAGGCAAGACTGGAAATTCATTTGTAGCTCATAATAGCAACTTGATTTTGATTCTTGTTGGGTGATGTTTGATGCTTTTATTTGCTTCAAACTGTAGCTTATTCTAAGCCAAGCACCTCAAAAAATAATTCCTACAGTCAGGTGTAACTAGCCTGTTATGAGCAGTCTCACAGGTGGGTCATCTCCATTCCCTGTTCCCACCTAAGTGGTGGAAAAATCTTTCCCTACAAGCAGGGAAAAATGTTTTTGGCCAGGGCCAAAACATTCATCTGGCCAATTTCATCCCTTCAGGAACAGAGACCCATGTAGTGAAACAAAATAGCACCCACACCACATAATTAGTTCCAAAGGAATTGGCAAGAGTTCAGTTTTTACGTAGTGACAGAGAAACAAGTTTACAGAGCTGTGTATAAGGCAGAAAGCTCACCTTTGCATGCTGCAAGGGGGGCAGACCAGACCCCAGAGGAGGTGCAGTGTACAGATTCCAGTGCAGTCAGTTCATAGCCTTCCTCACACTGAACTGTGCAGGATGAGTTGTAGCTGAAGTTCCCCAATGGATGGTTGCACTCGAGGCTCCCGTGCTCAGGTTTCCTTAGTGGATCACAACTCTCAACTTCAGAGAAGCACAAGAAGGAACACAGTCAGGGGCATGAGCAGCTAAACCAACAAGCCAAAATGAACACCAGCCAGCATGAGCTGGTCAAAAAGCAGGATGAAATAATCTTACCAAACTCGCATTCAGGGCCATAGAACCCAGGGTTACAATGGCAGGTGTGACTGTTAATAGTTTCTATACATTCTCCACGGCCACTGCAGAGAGATGGGTTGCAAGAAGCTGAAAAAAATAATACAGCAAATTATAAAGGAATCAACAATGGCCACTAAGGAAACGTGGCTAGCAATTTGTTTATCTTTCTGACACTAAGCAAGCCCTTTGTATAGCAAAACAAAATCATAGGGTTTGGTACTTAAGATTATCCTGTAATTTCACAGAAAGGATTCTGAAATCCACGCTTTTGACAGACTAGTTCACAGTGAAAGGATTCTACTGGCTGGAAACTCCAAAGACCACTTGTTCTCAGGTAGATATTAGCAATATTTAAAATGCAAAAGGAACAATAAATCTAAGTCTTAGAACAAGGACAAACACCATCCTGTAAGCAAGCATAAGTGTACAAGTGCTTACAGGGTCAGGTAGCTAATATGTAAGACTAAACAACTCATCCCACCCACCATCTCACCTCCACAGGGACACACTAGGATGACCTTTATCACTCCATACCTGTGTAGCACAAGGCGACCTTCTTTTTCTCACACTGTTCATCATTCCATTTGCCATCATCCTTCCCTCTTTTGATGTAGATTTCCACGCAGTCCTCGTTGTTCCCTTTGCCATTTGGCTCACCTGAAGCCCAGTTTCTTGCTTCTTCTGTCAGTTCTTTGTTAGTTCCAACCCAGGTCCACACATCATTAATTTTTCTGATTCCAATCCAGTAGTAACCCGGATTATAGGGTAAGAAGTTATTGAGATAGTTGATTTCCTCCTTATTCTGAATGGCAACCATGTTAGTATACCTCTTTTTGCACCACTCCTCTGCTTCCCTGTAGGTCATGTTTCTGTCTGAATAATGGTATGTCCAACCATTCACCCCCTGCAGCACTGTAAGTCCTAGAATAAAAAGATGTCCAAAAGTTGGTGTCTGACTTTTCCCCTCCTCTCTCTCTAGAAAAGGATAAATAAAGCTCTATAAATATTGCAACCTTGTCAATATCTGAAACTGCATAAAAATTAATGGCAATTATTTTATAAATAATCAACTGGCAAGTTTCAAACCAGGCTTGTCAGATGCAAGTACAGGGACTTCAGCCTGTGAAACTATGTCTGGCCACAGAAAGCTTTGGGACTTCACAGCAGGCTATGGGAGCCAAGTATGGATTTGACAGGCAAGCAGGGAAACGTGCCATTGCAGCTAGAGGTGCTTCTGTGTGAACCCAGGCTCAGGTTAGTTAGGGCAGGTTCAGAAGTTCTTTTAATGCTGAGCTCAAACAGAACAGTCACATTAATATTACCATCCAAATAGTTTTCTACATGGAGCAATACACACTTACCATAAGTAAGAAGAGATAGGAACCACAAGCAAACCATGTTTGAGTGTTTTCTCTTCTTTATCTTTTAAAGCAGATGACTCTGAGAGACCAAAGAAACACATTTGTAAAGAACAAACACTGACCTGTTACAATTCAATATAAAATACTGCCTATGCAATTTTTTCTACATGCTTTGAAACAATTATTCTAAAAACTTAAATAAAATTTCAATTTTTTGGAAATTATTCATTTTAAAACAGTTCTTCGTATCAAGATATCTTTTAAAAGCGAACAGCTTTAAAGAACACAGAATTGCAGCTGTCCAGCTCTCTTTTAGCTGAGCAGTTAAACAGAACAGCACAGTGCATTTCTACTCACAGGTTGCAGCTGCAGAGTCCCCGTGGCAGAAGTCCCTCTGCAATATTTCTCACTGGCTCCTTTCCGTGGCTAAGTTGATGAACTCGGACTTGAAGATCAAGTTCAGCTCCAAGTGCCTCGACTCTGTAATCCCCTGCCTTTTATTCCCTCAACTAGCCACTCCTGCACGAGACAGGAAAGACGTTTGGGAAAAAATATCTTGGAAAATCCCAGGATCTGGCCCTCCCTCACATTAAAACGGATGTCTTTTCTCCTGACAAATGAACCCTCCAGGAAAGACACACTGTGCTGACAAACTGCCAAGTGCCACACGTTATATGCTCTTACTGACAGAAACACACAATTCCAGGATATCAAGGAGGAGGAAGACAGCTCGAGTAGGCTGCATGAATAAGCAGATTCCAGTCTTTCACCTGGCACAGTGTTTTGCACCAAGGAGGTGCCAGTTCTTCTGGTATCTCAGTAGGAAAGGCACCAACACTCAAAGCTGGTTAACTAAGTTTGAGTAAAAGATGAACTGCAGCACCGGCCAAGCCCTTCCTTGTGGACAGCACACTCTGCAGAGCTCTCATCTGTGGGAAGGTTTGCCAGTCCCAGGATTGCTAATTCTCTTCTACAGCCCTGCTCACAATACAGGTTCATCAGTCACTTGTAGCAGTCAAGCTTGGAATGTGGATTTCACTTGGACTATATGCTCCAATATCCTGATCTCAATAGAGTTACAATTCCTGAACAGGTGCACATAACATTTTGGGTGGACAAGACAATACACTGAATTCATGCATATTTATTGTGTATACACTGATTAATTACACTACTGCATAAAGCTTCACCATTATGGATGAGGTTTAATGAGGCTCAACATGCAAAGGACTCAACAAGGGTTGTCAGCTACAGGAGGGCACAGGGTAGCACCCACTTCATATCTGTAAAGCATAATTATAGTTTATACAGTGCATGTTGGAGCTCTTATTTTGGAGCCTCAGCCTTGTCTTACAAAAAACTCAACAGTGACTCCTGGATTCCAAGCTAACATCTCAGTTGGGACCAATTCCCAATTTTTTTACAAAAAAAAAAATTTGTCACCTAGCCACATCTTAATAGATCTCTGCCCATCAAAGGAATCCACCTCAAAAAAGAGCATAGAATAAAGAGTATGTTCCAAAACAGCCTCAGTTATTAACAAAATATGGAAATTGCAAAAAAAAAGATCTAGAAAGCAAGTCTCAAAGTTAGTTACTGAAGAGTGTGAGGATTAAAACCAACATACTGCATATTTGTAGGGAGAGGAACATCTCCTAGCAGGTGTGAACCAGCAAAGCTAGAAACACAAACTGACCATCAGGAAACTCTGGAAAGTTGAGGTTAGCTCTTGGCTGGCCTGGGCCAGCCTTGCTTAGAAGAACCAGACTTCCAGAACCTTCCAGGCAGCATCAGGTCAGGACTGCTATGTCTTTAGGCTCTGCTGTAAATTGGGAATGAAAACACTCCCAGTTTGCCAACCCTTCTCTATTAGGAAGGTTTACCACCTGAAGAAAACAGACAGGAGCTGGTGCTTTTAAAGCACCTGTACAGTACCTTGTGCAGCAGGGCATAATTTCCCAGGGGTTCTGTAAACAATATTGTAACACAGATTAATGTTAATGAGTCTTGATAGAGCAGGGTTTTTTTTTTTCTAAAACATTGATCAGCTGCTATAACTATAGACATTATAGAAAAAAAAATTACAGACAACTCCAGAACAGTTTTTACCCTCTCAGGACGCGGAAAACCCTACTTTTTTTTTTTCCTGGATATTCCCTTTTCCAAATCATTTAATGAGCTTCCTACTGGTAAGTGCTCATCCTTGTCATGGCAGAAGCTCTGAAGCCGAGCGGGAAAACTTCAGCAGAATTGCTTTGTCAATGGAATCTCCGGAGGAAGGAAGAGAATATTTCAGAATTTACAATAGTCTTCCTTCACGTGACCTGTCTGAGACCTCCTGTCTGCAGCAGATAAAGAACCCCCCCAAAAAAATAACAAAACACCAAAGCCTAAAAGCAATATGCTTGTAAAAATTCCAGACTAAAAAAAGACTGACTCTTTTTTTTGGCAGTATTCCCTTATACACTGAGAGGGGGCTCTTTTTGGTTTTTCCCAGGGAATTCTGCCATTCACCGATTACATTTTTATTTCCTTGTAATATCATGGAAGATGAACACATGCAAAATTTTCAAAGGGGAAAAAAAAAAAGCCTGAAAAGCATTTTCCAAAGCACAACAGAAGTTAGAACCTGTTTATTAAAAGTCAAAAGCACTTAAAATTTCAATCCTATTGCTCAGGAAGACTGGGATTCCTCCAAGCTAAAGCTCATATTGGAAATATGGCCTAAGTTACATACATATTTCAGGAAAAATACCTGTGATACAGTTACTTAGGTTGAACTGTAGATTATCAAGCTAGCAATGCCATGCAACCTGCCCCTTAGCTGGTTTCCATGTTACTGATTTGTTCTCTTCCCACAGTTATTTCACATTCATGCTTTTTTCTTCTTTTGCCACTTGATTTGGGAACATAAGAGCCTCCTTTCTGGTGCTGTGCAGAGCTGGGAAGTTGTCCACTCTCCTCTTACACTACATGGGCACAGACATAGTTCCTTAAAATTAATACAATTCCTCTCTGCCAGAAAAATTGGAGACTCCAAACTTTAGGCAAATTTTTAGAAATGCTGAACACTTATTTTTCTTATACACTCCGGGCTTTCATCCCCACAAGTGAAAGCCCAGCTTTTTACAAGCTTTTTTTACAAGTGAATGGGAATACTCCAGATCACTTCTTTTCCCTTACAAACAGAGGTGCTTAATAGGGATTATCTAACAGAAACTGATTTTCTAGTTGGAGGGTTTCCTTAGCAGGCCACTATGAGATAGAGAAGGTAAGAAAAGGCTATATAAATATATTAGGAGTAAAAACAACAAACCCCAGGGGGGTCTGCTATTTAAAGGACAGGAATGGACAGAGGACATGTCAAATGGCATTTCTTTTATACAGAGAAAAGTTGATACTCACTGCAAAAGTGTTATGCACCAGGAAAAGAGAACAGGTTAGAGGAGAAAAGACTGGAGTGAAGACTCTTTATATTAGTTACAGGCAATCAAGCTACTGTTTAAGGATCCAAACCCCAGTAATTACCTTTGGGAGTATGGGAAAAGGTGTCAGAGGGCTGGTAAAAAGCAAATATTGCCTTTCTGTGTCTCGGAAAGGAAGATCAAGGTAATTAGAAGCCGGGCCTTCCACGTGAGCTCCTAGAAAAATACCAGAATAACACTGAAAAAATGTTAAGGAAAACAACTGAAAAATCAGCAGGCAGCTGCTAAGCTGTTCAGAACAGCTGACACTGATAGAATTGATCTCTTCCTGGCAGATCAATCAAGTTTGTGGTCTAGGTTGAGTCAGGAACAAAGAAACAATAGTGGACTATGGTTTGTTATAATTAAGACTTTTAATAATGTCCCATGAGACATTCTTATGAGGAAACAAGTGCAACAATGCTTAGTTGAAATCACCATAAAATAAGTATATAAGAGATGGAATCACTACTCAAAGGGCAGTTTTTCAAAGATCACTTTCTGTCCAAGAGAACTATTTTATTCCCACTCCACTGTACAAAAGGGTGATGGAGGAAAGAAATCTTTACCACCTTCTAAAACCTAAAAGTTATTCCAGAGTACTTCGGAGGCATGTGATTAACAATGTTTTATGTCCAGTTGGTGCATAACAAGTAGTGGTGGCTTGATTTGTAGTGACAAAGTTTTAAAGGAAAATTTTCCAAGGAAACCATGAAATGCTAAAACAGGAGTTTTGTAGAGTCTACCTTTCTGTTGGAAATTTCAAGTCTTGGTTTGAAAAACATTTTTCAGTATCTTTATCAGTAGCTTATGAAAATTCAATGCAATGCAAATTATTTCGCATTATCTAAAGTTCTCTGTTGAACTTGCAGAAATCACAAACCCAAGACAAATACAGAATATGGTGGGATCTCAGATAAGTAGAATATATAGACATCTATTTGTAAGTATAAAAAAAGACAAAGCTTCATTTTCCACTTCTTTAGAAAAGACTTTTTCTTCACCTACACGGTAAGATTACATCTGCATTTACATATTTGTAAGTCTTCCTTTTTTAAAATGTTAATGATTCTGTTATGTCAACAGACAAAAAACCAGAGCATTAAGTACCTCTGAGTAATCCAGTTCCATCTCTCTCCTAGAAGGTATATTCCTCATTCCTAAATTAAGACACTTGATAACTACTTATGTCAAAATGTTTTGTATAACAGACATTTATTCCATGGCAAAGAGCTGTAGAGCCACTTGAAATTTTGAAGTAATGGAAAAGTGTCCAGCTTCACCCACAGTGACGCTCACTAGAAGAGGAAAAATAAGAGCTTTAGCCAGCCTTGAGGGGAAAAGGAGTTCTGGTGCCAGTAGAGAAGGTGTTTCCTGTTTGGAGAGGAGCTTTCAACGCTAATTCTTCAAAAATTCAGAGACAAAAGGTTTAAGGCACAAGTTTTCCCCGAGGTCTAGATGGGAAGCAAAGATAATTTCCAAAAACATACTCATCCCTTCTTAGCCTCTGTGTCTCATTAAGTGTGAATAAGGTAGGCAGTGCAACTGCTACCAGGGCGCTGGAATTTTGCAAGGCTGCCTCAGACAGTCTCCACTCTGTCTGGAGTGGAACCCCAGGAGCCAGAAAATCTTATCTCTCCTTCTTATTTCGGGAACTCTGCTGTGACTCATAGTGCTCAATTTCCCCCAAACAGGCAAAAATACCCACTGAAGAATCCACCCTGAGGCCAGGGATCACTTGCACTGTGCCAGCTGGGATTCAGGCACTGAAGCATCAAAGAAAGCAAAGAAGCAGAGGAAACAACAACACACACCTTGAGTTAAGATAAAAGCAGGGCAGGCCTTAACATCACACATTGGCAGTGTGATGGGTGTCCATGGGTGCAGGTGGAACTGATCCCATGCAGAACTTGATTATTTCTAATTCCAGTGTTGGAAATCACGGCAGAGAAGGTCTTGGAGCCTTGCTACCCTTCATGCTCACAGGAAAGAATGACAATGTAACACATGCATAGACCCAGCACTGCTGATTTTACTGCCCAGCTCTGTTCCACAGCCCCACACTCTGGGCAGGTGAGGTGTCCCAGAAGTGGCACTGATGGGAATGCTGGCTCTGAGGAACAGAACAATTACAGCTTTTGGCAAGTGAGAGAAGTGAGGGCAAATTTCAGGATTAGGAGATTAAGTAGGTGGTTGGTACTGTAAAAACAGTCATCATGAGATATGTTTTTTGTTTTGCAGACTCTTTGCATATCTTCTGCCTAGCTCTGTTCCCAGAAAACACTGCTTTGACTTAGAGAGTTTGTGAACTATGGGCAGCACTGGAGTTCTGACATGACCTTCCATTCTCCATTTGCAGTATTATGAGGGAGAGACTACAAAAAAAGGATGAAGAGGCAGTAGTTTCCCTTCTTTACTAATACTCCTCACCATTTGTTTACAAATTCCAAGCTTCAGATCTGTTCTCTTCTGTGATTAAGTCAGTTCCAGGAACATAATTTTTACACATCAATGGACACAGAATTCAACACATTTGACTCCGTAACCAAATCAGTGTTCAATAACATTTTTTAAAAATCATAAAATACAGCATCTTATAATTTCAATATTACGATTTCTCAAATTTCTCCATAAGTTTTCAGCCCAAATTGCCCATCTCAAGAGCTGTGCTGCTCTAGAAAGGAATGTCTACTAAGCAAGCTTCAGTCAAGGACAGTCAGAGATGTTAGTCCTTAATTTTTTCACTGGGAAACAAGCAGTAAACAAACTCTCCAAATGCTAGCTGCAGCAAATCACAAACCAGAGAGCCTCATTTTTTGAAGGACCTAGAAGTTTTGGATCATGTATCTGAAAAGTGTTTGGGTGATACTGACCTCAGTATTTCAAGCCAAGCCCCAGAGATTATCATCACTGTCTGATACCATCTATAAAACCAAGCAGCAGAAAAAGTTCCATCACCAAAACTGCTGGAATTCTGTGGAGCGAGGTCTTATCACTTGGTATCTGAAATCTTCAAGCCAGAAGACCAAAGTACAAGGAACAACTGCACAGGAGTGAGAAGTAAAACCCCACTCAACAACAGCTGGCAAAGGCACATGATTCACACTACTCCTGATTTTTCTCAGTCAGACCATGAGAGAACAGAAGCTCTTGAATTAAGTACTCTTTCAGGAGCACTTTTAGCCACTCCACCACAAGTTTGCCACAACCATGAATTAGTCAAAGAAAGAAATTTATTTCTATCAGATGTAATTACCTTTGTAATTACTTTTTAGGGCAGGCATGTTTAACACAAGGTTATTAGTGGAGAGTACTTCAATTGCTGCATTATAGGAGTTATTTCAAGAACAAAGGAATCATCACTAACACTGAAAGCATTGGTATTAAATTGCTTAATATTATCATTTCCCAGTGAAAAAAAACCATGGCACCACAAGGCTTTTTAAAGTTCCAGTTAACTGGTGTCAAGATAATTAGGACTTTCCTTATTTCCTGGGGCATGAAAACAATACTTTAACTTTCCCAGTGAACATTTTGCTCTTATAACACTTTTAGATTTCTTGACTCATCAGGAAGAATGAGTGTCACCTCCCCTGAAACTGCTGCACTTTCATACTTGAGCTTAAAAAGCAACCCACAAAGTCAATTTTCTCAGATGCTGAACATGTATCCCACTCCACAGACCCCATTAATAACCCTTCACCCTAAGAGTTGTCAAGCCCTGGAACAGGCTGCCCAGGGAACTGGTGCAGTCACCAACCCTGGAGATATTTAGGTGCTTAGGGACATGGTTTAGTGGTGGACCTGGCAGTGTTAAGTTTATGGCTGGACTCTGATCCTAAGAGTTTTTTCCAAACTAAACGATTGATTCTATATTTATCCTTCCTGGTATATATTAGTTGGGGGTTTTTCCCCTTTCATTTATCAATAGGCATTTACTCATCTTTTGTAGCAACACATAATCACAAACAATAGCAGAGCCTGATTATTTAGATGACAGAAGTAATAATAAGATAAGATAATTTTTATAATAGGCATTGGATCAGCAGGGAGGGAAAGAATTGCCATTTATCATTTATAAAATAATTCTGGGCCTACATGCAAGATTCTTATTTAAAGCAGTTAGGAGTTCAGTTTATTTGTACTTCTAAGCAACAAATAAATACAAATAAAATACAGAGGGGAAGCTGCCTTACTGCCAAAATAAAATGAAAGATCCAGATTTATGCTTACTTAAAGATAAGGAAATTAGCAGTGCAGTTGCTCTATACCTTCTAGAGTCAAAGACAGACAAAGGTTTATCTGAAGGTTAAGTCAAAGGACAAAAGTTCAGTTTATGTCCAGAATTCTGCAGGTAAGCCTTCACTCCAGTAGATTCCACATTCCTTCATTCTGATTTTTTTTCCTAGGAAATGCAGTCCCAACACCATGACAAAGGAAGGACATGGTTTCTCTCCAGGCTGAGTACTTCCAGCCCTAAACCCACCATTCAAAAGAGCCTCATATCTCTAATCCATGAGTGCAAATGCGTGAGTTTACCTTGAAGAAAAGCAGCTGCAAGGCCCTTCTATTCAGGATGTCACATATCCCACACAAATGAACTCTGATCAATTAAACAACTCATTCACACTGTTTGTCTCTGCAGACCACAGGGTAACAGCTGGGACTCAGGAATCATCACCTGCACACCGCTTCCATCATGGCCCCAACATATGGTGCCAGGCACGGACACGGAGAGCAGGGAAGGACAACCAAAGGACAGCAGAGCCCTGGAAACAAACCTAGCGGGCTGGTTTCACTGAACAAGGGGATTCAAGGCAGGAGCACTCATTCAGTACTTCAAAGACTAACAATCCTGTGACAGGCAGGTGATATTTATGGTTATTCGGAAGGAGAACCAGGAGAATGACACCCCCTGGTAGCAAACTCGAGGCTTTTCAAAGGGTGGAGATATTCCAAGAAGTGCCCTCTAGAGAAATACCTTTCCAGGTGTCCATTAGAAATCAGTGTTTAAACCTAGGGAAGAGGGAGCAGCTAGGAAGGCTCAGAAAGGATGCAACAGGCTCAGAAAAGTAAACAAGTTTTTTGTATATAAAGGGATAAAGTCGGTACAAAAAACCCAAATGGATACAAACAATTTGTGAGTAAATATAGACCAAAAATTAGAGGGTGTTTCTAACCAGCAGAGCAATGAGGTTATAAAACTGCCTTCTGTGAGGAGCAGAACAAAAGACTTGGTTTTCATCAGACCTTGTTCAGGTTCTGAGAGGGATCACAGGAGAGCATTATTCATCAAAGCAAGGTATGAAAGGCCCAGAAGAGGCCCTTTATACTCCAGAATGCCAGAGGTTGGCTTGGATTCCTAACCTTCAGTGCACAAACCAAGCCTCTGGCTCCTGGACTGGCTATATACATACACAGATCCCAAAGATGTTAATGCTAAGACAGATAATGTTATTATCCTGAATTTGTTCCAGCTTCTTCACTAATCTGAGGAGCTGCTAATCAACAGCTGTTGAAGAAAAATCTTTATTCAAATCCTATTAAATTGTGTGAGCCAAGCAGCAAGGCAGACCTGTGGTGTTTTGATGTCCATGATAATTACAACTTACAAGAGTGTGTTTCATTTGCACCAGTGTATTAGGCATTCTTCTGCTCAACTCCAGGCTGCACTCCCACTCTGGGGTAAAAAAAAAAAATTTGCAAAGTACAGCTGAACATTGACCCACATTTTATTTTCTCTCTCGTTTGTTACATGTGATGGAAATCCCCTACTTCAAACTTCTTTCCTTAATATTTTCCTGTAATACAACCAGGAGCCAAATATATCCCTACATCTTGTGCTCTGCTGTCAAAGAGCTTAATAAAGGGAAAAATTTATACAGCTGGAGTTCAATGTGATTGCTTCCCTTTTCCTGACTCTGGGAACCTGGATTGGTCTAATGGCTTTAGAGAATCCCGTGTTAAACTTCACCGCAGCACAACAATGTTCCTTTTCTAGTCACTTGCCATTTAGAGGTTAAATATCAAAATAAATATCAAGATGTTTTGACATTAGGATACTCCTATTTGCCTATTCTCAAATGAAATGCTACATTTGATCTTGAACTGCAATCCAGTTGGTTTCTTTTAAGATGTCCTACAAGTTCACTGGTGTAGTCTGGGCACTGAAAGCAAACAAGAAATAGCAGATCTGAGACCCACACAGTAAACTGATCCTGGATTTTGGCAGGATAAGCCTATCAGATCTGAACTCTGTTTCTGCAGCCAGGTGACTTCTGTGACCTGAACTTGCTCAATTACAATTGGCTTTGATATCCCCTTACACAGCAGCAGAACAGTCTCACCTTCTCTTCCCCATCCTTCATTTCAATCCACATTAATAAAATAAGTGACAGTTGGCAATAATCCATTATAATTTCTGAATAATTCCACTCAAGGCCAAATTAGCTTTTAACTACAAGTCAGAAAGTCTCATATGCCATCATAAGGGCTACCCCATTGGGGCTTTCAACCCAGGCTTTTTCAGGGATCTTTTCTGTTACTAGGTTACTGAGAAGGGAAGTTACTGATGTTTTCTTTGTAACCATCAGTTACTGCATAATTAACTTTTCCCTAAAGGTGTTTCTATAAAGTTACTTTAAAAGAAATACAAACATCACAGCCTTAATGCCACCACAAAGCCCAGCAGAAATGCAGTTAAGTATGACAAGAATGTCTTCATCCCCATCAGCAGTTTCCATCACCCAAATATTTCACCCAATACACAGGAACTCATTCTCTCAGCAGGCACTCACAGTGCCTCAGTCCTACACCTATTCTCACCAAACCTCTATAAATATGGTAACATCAACTGTTCTATCACAATCTCAAGCTGAGTTGACGTTTATTAGCATTTCCCAGAGAAATCATTAAGCAGAAAAAGCATGGTCACCCTCTCACAAGGGGTACAATGGAGGACACAAGGCTATAACCTGCTTTATCCCTCTCGAGATGCTCAGGAAGTACTTACAGCAGGTACCAGGATATCACGTTCCTCTACAAAAATGAACTGGAGTAGCTACAATAGTTACACCCAGTTATCAGACCATGCCACATGAACCACAGCTTTTGCTGCTTCTTTTTAATCTCTCTGATTCCTGGAATAAGTAGAGAAGTTTGACCAAGTTCAGATGCACCAGCTCAACCAGTATCTTGGCTGACACACACCAAATTCAGCCTAACAACGTGTTTTGTTACACCAATAGTTTAATCCACTGCAACACACAATGCAATACTGTTGCAAACCAAGCCAGTGTAAGGATAGGTGAATTTTCCAAGGCCATACGAATTAAAACAATGTGATAGGAAGGACATAAACAGAGAAATTTTAGTCATTTGGGTCAGTCCAAAACCTGCAAACCATAATACAAAACAAGCCCAATTTGTAACACAGAAGAAGTAAAAAATTCTGGCAATACTGACCCTTATGATTTGCCTACAACTACTCAAGAAAAACATCCACTATCTTATCTTCATTATCATCACATCAGTTCACTGTTACCTGACTTGTTTACAATACTTTTTTCAGAACAATGAGTTTTAGGACACCACTGTGAAAAGACAAGATGTCACTTGGCCAAATAAATAAAAAACCCCTTAATTTTTCAAAAAGTAGTGCCAAACTCACAGTTAGCTATGAGTAAGTCCATTACAAAAGGAAAGTCCCTCCATGCAGTTCTGTGGAAAACAGGCTGTCTCTGGTTTAAGACCCCTGTTGCCCCACGCCATCCTCTTTGTACCCTCGAGGCCCACAGTGACGCACCAACAATCCCCACCAAGAGCAGGGAATTTTTGCCTTCAGCCTAAAAGCCAACAGGAAACTCCTATACCTCAGCACGGAGTGGGAAACTGCTTTTGGATAAGGTGGACACTTGGGAAGACAAAAGCATTAAGGAAAACAGGATAAAGCTCTGCTTTGACTATTATTAAGCCACAAACTTATTTACTCAAACTCATGTCAGGTGAAGCCCAATGCCTGCTCTCCTTGCTGAGGGCAAATTCCTTTTAAATTTAGCTTCTGTCTAAGGTATGTCACAAGTATTTCCTTTGTCATCCTTACCATTGTTGTTTGTTGCTAGCCCCTTCCACGCCTCATAACTGAAATGGGGCAATAAAGTTTTCCACAGTCACGCAAAAGACTTCTATGCTTGAGGAAATGAAGCATTCTGTTCCAGTAAAAAATAAAGGGGGTGAGTTATTCAAACAAGCAGCCTCCCCTAATGCTTTCTTAATGAAAGATAAATAGGAACACGAGATATTAGGCAAGAGTGGCAAACAAAATAATTAAGGAATAAACTGTGTACACAGAAACAATCAAAACAAAAATAGACCTCTTAGGTTACTTGAAACAAATTTAAAGGACTAATTCTACAGGCTGATTTACTACTGGACAAAGTAAGCTTGAACAGCCACCTCAGCTCTATAAGACTCTCTAAGACATAGGATCCTAAAGGGGACCTCACTCAGGCACAGATTTTATCACTTTCCCTGACTATCTTGGAAATCCCAAACAGCTGAGACAGGAGGATTGATTTCTACTTAAAGCCCTTCACACCTCTTCATCCCCTAAAACTCAGCAAACAAGGATTTAGCTTCCTGGGGCTCTGCTCATTTTCCTCACAGTGGTGCTGCTACTCTGTGCACAAACAAGGTAACCAACAACAGTCTCTGAAACAACAAAATACTGGAAATTTTTATTAGGGATTGTTTTGGTCAATACAGTAGTTTAGGAAACAACTCTAGTTGTAAAGTAATAAGTCTCAAAACAAAGTCTAACCCCAAATTTACATTTATCTTTGTAGTATCTCTAAATGTGTATTAAGATGAGGCATACTCTTTCTCTGTTTTACTGATGCTTTTAATTAATTACACCTTAATTTATGTAGTAGATTATCTGCATTCAAGTACTAGTTCTAGATTTTAAAAGTTTTACAGGTGGAGAAATTCACGTCAACAATAATTTACTACTTGTATACATGAAAAGAATAAAACTGTTCAGTTAGAAGTGACCTACAATATAGTATTTTTAAAAGCAGTTATGTTGAAACTCATTTGTGGAGGTACTCTGAAAGTTTTAAAGTAGCTCCTACTCTTTAAAATGTGAGAATTCATAATACAAGACTGCTCAGCACTGCATGGAAGTAATTTTTTTTAATTCAGTAAAGATTATATGTATTTTTGAATTCAGTAAAGATTATATATATTTTTGAATTCAGTAAAGATTATATATATTTTTTGAATTCAGTAAAGATTATACATAGTTTTTTGAAT